CTATTTTATATACACTATATAATATATACTAACATATCCTATATCTATATACTATATAATATATAATATAGATAATATAGAGTCTATATTATATATACATATATATATATAATATATATATATCATATATATCTCTCTCTATAATATCTATCATCCTATATATAATATCTATATCCTATCTATATATATATATAATATCGATATATCTATCTATATAGATATATTATATAATATAAAAATGATATATATATATATATATATATATATATATATATAATAGATATCTATATATATATAGATATATATATATATTTATATTTACACCATATTACTATACATTATCTATATATATATATATATATATATATAATATATATATAATTATATATCTACTCATACTATATTATATATAGATATCTAGATATATCTGATATTCTATATAGTATAGTATATAATCTATATATCTATACTATATTTATAGTATATTATATAGACATATCTATATATCATTCTAATATAGTATATATATATAATATCTATATATATAATATATATATATCTATATATATATCTAATTATCTATATCATATATCTATATATATATATATATATAATATATCTATATAATATATATATGATCATATATATCTATATCTACTCTCATATATATATTATATAATATATACTATATCTATATATACTAATCTATAGATTATATATAGCTTATATAATCTCTATATATATATAGCTATAATATAATATTATATATATCTATCTATAATATATATATTATTTTTTTTATTCACATATATAATATTATATAAAGTATATATATATATTCTATATATATATTATAGTATCATACTATATATATATAATTATAATCTATCAGATATATATATAATATATATATATATAATATATATATATCCTATATATTAATAATCTATATATATATATATATATTATAATAGATATATATATATCTATATATCATATATCTCTAAGTATATATGAATATATATTATATATACTTATATAGTATATATATATATATATACTATTATATATATATATACTATATATATATATCTATTAATATATAGATATACTAGTAATATAGAATATATATATATTCTATTATTATAGTATATATATATCTATATATATCTCTATATATATACTATATACGTCTTATATAGATATATATGATATGATATATATATATATATATATCTTAGATATATATATATATATATATATTATCTAATATATATATATATATATATATAGATATCTTTATAATATCTAATATCATAATATAGTGCATATATATATATATATAGTATATATTACGCGAGTATATATAGTATGATATACTATATATATATATATATCTATACATATTTAATAGAGAATATAGTGTCATATATATCTTGTAATATATCTAGTATATTATAATTATATCTATCTAGCCTATATATATATAATAATATATAAATATATAAATATATATATATAATATATTATATATATATATCTCCTCTATATAATATATATATATTATACTATATATATATATAGTATATATATAGAATATTATATAATTATATTATCTAATCTATATACAATAACAATCATATAATAAAAAGAATATCAAAAACATATACATCATAAAAAAATAATATACTATATATAATCAAATATCACAAATATATATATTGTTATAAGCTATATGTATATAATATATATAGATTATATATTATATATATATAATATATATAGATATATATATATATAATATATATATATAATATATATTCTAGATATATATATATCATATATTATATAATCTATAATATATATAATATAATCACTATTAATATATCAAAATAACAATCATAAAATATATATAAATATATAATACAATCATAATAAAATATATTAAAATAATAATATATATAATATATATATATATATATATATATCATATTATATATATAATATATATATATAATATAAGATATAATATATATTATAATATAATATATATATATATATATAATATATATATATAGTAATACATATATATATATTTATATATATATATATATATACTCTATATAGATATATATATATCTAAATATATATATAATATCTATATATCATATATCTTGATAAATATATATAATATTATATAATCTATAATATATAATATAATATAGATATATAATATATATATATATATATATAGATAATATAGAATAATTCATATATATATATAATATATTATATAATATATATATATAATATATATTATCATATATCTATATAATATTTTTTATATATTAATATATATATTAATATATATATAGAATGATAATATATAATATATATCTATAATATATATATCTCTATATATATATATAAATATATATATATATAATATATATATATTAATATATAATCTATATATATCTAATATATTATATATCTAACATCTTATTATATAATGTATATATATATATATTATAATATAGATAGATATATATATATATATATATATATATTATATATAATATATCTAATGTAGTCTAGGTATATATATTTATATATATTGGATTATATAATATGTATATATCTAATATATATATACTAATATATATAGTATATCTATACTAGATATATATATATATAGTATCTATATCTATATAGTATCTATATATTATCTAATAAGTATATATATATAGATAGTAAATCGATATATATATATAGGATATATATCTATATATATAGATATATAGACTAGTTAGATATATATAAATACCACATAAAATATCTAGTCTCTAATATATAGATATCTATATAGTAATCTAGTTTATTATTATATATATATATAGTATATATAATTATTATATATTATAGTAGTATATATATTATTTATATATTATATATATATTATATTGTAGCCGCTGGTATATATTTACTTCATATCAGCGACTGGTATATTATATAGTTTTGTATCATGTTATTCTGTTAACACGGGCGATCAGTGAGTTTGTATTGTATAAAATTCATCTTCTGCTGACAACCTCCGAGAGGCCTCGGCGGCTGTGACCACCGGGTCAACACATGTTCCTGTATCACCCATAAGAGCGACCTTCAAAAATTGATGTTTGGTGCGAGAGGGTCGTGCCATATGAAGTGATGACTGCTCTATCTAATGTCTAACATCGTTACTTGACACTGGAGCTTATGTATATCTGACTTAAAGTTCGAGGGGCAGTCCGAGGGACCCTCAGTGCGTCAATGACGCCCATTAAGCATTTTGGAATCAGACTACTAACTGATATTCTGCCTGTCCCGCAGCGTATGTTATCCAATATTTTGTAGATACGCAGGGGGGCCCCCTTTCTAAACCACACTGGAGTGGATTGTTTTGTGGCCCTTTTTCCACGTAGCATGCAAAGCATACAGAGAATCGATTTGGTTGGTGTTTACATGCGTCACACCAGGCCGTCCATATTGACACCCTTAAAGTCTCTAATGCTACACGTTCCTTACGGCGCGAATGTGCTTTTATAGCCTATGTTGACCCCGATGAAGATCTATTCTGATAGAGGACAAACTTCTTAAAAGCCGAAGGGAGCCCGGCAACGTTTCAGCCTGTTCCTAAGGGACAACTCCATTGATGACACATGTACACGAAGGAACAAATCTATGTGGGTCTTCCTAACCTGAGAAGGGAGTGAGCACCCCCTGGCAGCCATCTCACATGGGAGGCGTTGGAACGACAAATTCGACACCAGTAACGGAAGATCTTTCTGTCAGCATAGTGACTCATGAGAATAGATGATGTCGGCTACGAGCCCTATTTTGTGAAGTAGAAGCCACAATGAACAGCCGCCCTCTCACCGCGATCCCGGGCAACGTCACAGAACCAGAAGCTTTGACCCCTAACCATGCCCTAAGAATGAATGTAGGGGATGGTATCCAGGTACTCACTGAAGGTAATGCATCACTTGACAATATATATCGCCGAGCCTGGATACACGCACAAGTCCTAGCAGATAGGTTCTGGAAGAGATGGAGAGCTGAGTACCTAACACATTGAGGATGAGACACAGACAGTTGACGCCATCTCGAAATCTTCGAGAAGGAGACCTTGTCCTCATTGTCGAACAACATACTCCAAGGAATCAGTGGAGGCTAGGGAGAGTGGTGGAGGCTATAGCCGGTGAAGACGGCCTCGTGAGAAAAGCCAAAGTTCGGACAAGTTCTGGAGTCCTCACCAGGCCCGTTGTGAAGCTATGCCTCTTGGAAGCATCATTATCCGGAACGACGGGATGATATGGTTGCTCCACTGTGGAGCAAAAGGGGGGAGTGTAGCCGCTGGTATATCATGTACTTCATATCAGCGACTGGTATATTATATATTTTTGTATCATGTATTCTGTAACACTGCGATCAGTGAGGTTGTATTGTATAAAATTCATCTTCTGTCTGACAACCGCCGAGGAGGCCTCGGCGGCTGTGACCACCGGGTCAACACATGGTCTGTATCACCCATAAGAGCTGACCTGTCAAAATATGTTTGTGCGAGAGGGTCGTGCCATAGGAAGTGATGACGGCTCTTCTAATGTATAACATACGTTACTTGACACTGGAGCTTATGTATATCTAAAGTTCGAGGGGCAGTCCGAGGGGAACCTCAGTGCCGTCAAGACGCCCATAGCATTTTGGAATCAGACTACTAAGCTGATATTCTGACTGTTCCCGCAATGCGTATGTATCCAATATTTGTAGAGTAACGCCAGGGGGGCCCCCTTTCTACCACACTGGAGTGGATTGTTTTGGCCCTTTTCACGTAGCATGCAAAAGGCATACAGAGAAGCGATTTGGTTGTGTGTTTACATGCTTCAGCACCAGGGCCGTCCATATTGAACCCTTAAAGTCTCTAGATGCTAGCACTTTCCTTAACGCGCTAATGTGCTTTATAGCCCGTAGGGGAACCCCGATGAAGATCTATTCTGATAGAGGAACAAACTTCTTAAAAGCCGAAAGGGAGCTCCGAGCAACGGTTCAGGCCTGGTCTAAGGACAAATCCATTGATGACACATGTAAACGAAGGAACATCGAGTGGGTCTTCCAACCCCCTGCAGCATCTCACATGGGAGGCGTGTGGGAACGACAGATTCGAACCATACGGAAGATTCTTTCTTCCATCATAGGCACGCAGAGAATAGATGATGATCGGCTACGAGCCCTATTTTGTGAAGTAGAAGCCACAATGAACAGCCGCCCTCTCACCGCGATCCCGGGCAACGTCACAGAACCAGAAGCTTTGACCCCTAACCATGCCCTAAGAATGAATGTAGGGGATGGTATCCAGGTACTCACTGAAGGTAATGCATCACTTGACAATATATATCGCCGAGCCTGGATACACGCACAAGTCCTAGCAGATAGGTTCTGGAAGAGATGGAGAGCTGAGTACCTAAACACATTGAGGATGAGACACAGACAGTTGACGCCATCTCGAAATCTTCGAGAAGGAGACCTTGTCCTCATTGTCGAACAACATACTCCAAGGAATCAGTGGAGGCTAGGGAGAGTGGTGGAGGCTATAGCCGGTGAAGACGGCCTCGTGAGAAAAGCCAAAGTTCGGACAAGTTCTGGAGTCCTCACCAGGCCCGTTGTGAAGCTATGCCTCTTGGAAGCATCATTATCCGGAACGACGGGATGATATGGTTGCTCCACTGTGGAGCAAAAGGGGGGAGTGTAGCCGCTGGTATATCATGTACTTCATATCAGCGACTGGTATATTATATATTTTTGTATCACGTATTCTGTAACACTGCGATCAGTGAGGTTGTATTGTATAAAATTCATCTTCTGTCTGACAACCGCCGAGGAGGCCTCGGCGGCTGTGACCACCGGGTCAACACATGGTCCGTATCACCCATAAGAGCTGACCTGTCAAAATATGTTTGTGCGAGAGGGTCGTGCCATAGGAAGTGATGACGGCTCTTCTAATGTATAACATACGTTACTTGACACTGGAGCTTATGTATATCTAAAGTTCGAGGGGCAGTCCGAGGGGAACCTCAGTGCCGTCAAGACGCCCATAGCATTTTGGAATCAGACTACTAAGCTGATATTCTGACTGTTCCCGCAATGCGTATGTATCCAATATTTGTAGATAGTTCTTTATCATATAATCTAACATGATATTTAGTGGCCTCATGTGTTGTAGGCATGCAATCTTATATTCGATGTATTAATTAACAGGTTTGACCGCTACTGAATAAACTTTGAGCGAGTGCTACGCAGTGGTATCATA